CCTAAATAGAATTAATTGGAACCTTCAGTAAACACCGAAACGTACGCAGTTCGATTATTAAATTATTTTCGTTAGTTTGCGTGAGTAAACTCGATAAATATTGCAATATTAATTTACTTTCCCAAACATTATTTCCAATCAATTACAGTCCATACGTGAAACGAATATGGAGTACCTGGAAAATCCAATTTGTTTCATGCCCGATTCGCGGAAACGTATGAAAAAAAAAAAAGAACATGAGGAGTTCTTTAATGCGTTCAGAGGATATTCATAACCGGATAATTACGCGGGAGCCCGTCATCGCCTGGGCGAAATCGCGTGCATAATCGATCGTTATCCAACCGTTTCAGTGTATTAAATAAAGTAAGTGTGTCACTACCGTTCCCACGGCAGCTAGCTAGCTAGCTAGCTTCAACGAGATTTCATTGAAAAAAAAAAGTGACATTCGATGTAATAACATGGTAATGGGAGCCGAGACCGTCTGAAGGTCCGTAGACAATCGACGGCATCTCCACTAATGACGGCTCGGTGTTCCGCATTAGATCACTCACGAGAGACTCTGATTCATATAACGGGATAACAACATTTGCATGCGTGACGTGCACTTGTTTTCGTTCCTCCAACTAGTCCAACGATTCTACACGGTATACGTAATTCCATTTCTGATTCACACAATTTTTATTCACGTTGCCAGACATTAGATAGACGTTCATAATATTCGGCAGAGTTTTTCATACTCTCTGTGGATTGAGTTTTCTTAAAAGCACATAAAACCGTTTAGTAATGACAGCAATCGACAAGATCCGAGTGTATTTTAATGCTCCCTGACCTGGTTCAATGATTTCACGACTGACAGTCTTAATTCTAAATCGGAAATGCCACTCGAAAGAGCTTATGCCTCTAATTGGGCAGCCCTGAAAGCGTTGGTTTGTCTAAAAGCTTCTTTGGTTCCAGTCTTCCACGTTAGCAAAGACTACGGCCAACCGGGAATATTGTACGGTAGTGGTGGTGGACCATATGGAAGTTATCCTGGCTCAGTTTATGGGCCAGGCACCGTATATCGTGGCACTGGCTACCTAAACCCAGGCTACAGTGGCTACAGAGGCTTAGGAGTCACTGGACCTGGTGGTGTCCTTGGAGGTGGACACCTAGGGTGGGTTTCCACCAATATTTTATGTTGAATAACACAGTTTTATAATCGTTGGGTCTTAGTTATAAGAAACTGGTTTCTGGAGAACAAGTCATTGATATGAAGATGCAGTTATTTATAAATAACCATCGTTATTCTAAATAAGTATCAGTATTATGTATTGTTAAGAAAGAAATACGATTCTGTCGATGATGCTTTTAATGGTATTGATACAGAAATGAAAGAAGTAAGAACAGAATTCCTTTTCATAAGTCGAGTCATATCGTCTTACTTATCAGAAAATGGTTTCTCTGATAGAAAACCTGGTATTGATGTACAACAGAAATTGGAATACGATTATTTTTAGTATCTCTCAACATACCATTTATAATATATATAATAT